TTGCACATCCATTTACACAACGAACACACACAATAAATCATGGATGTATTATGACTATGGGGATGTGAAACGAGTTTGAACCCCAAGCAACCTCCAAATCTCCAAATCCCATAAACAAAAACTCCAATTTCCTCATTCCACACTTGCATATATGTTTGTTAAAGGCAACGAATTACATGTGAGATGGTCAATTTGGAGCGTCTTCAAGAGCTCACATACCAACCAAGCTCTTGCAATCACTCTTGAATGAGCTGTGGCTGTGACCACATTTTTGGACTACCATTTTTGGAAGTTGGACTACCACTTCTCAGGGGGAATCCATTTGACTTGACTGGTCAGAAGCTGCTCACAAGGTTCTTGGAGCTCCTCACCTACAACACGGAGATCGTGTTGAAGAGTGATGGAGAACACTCTCTGGTCAAGCTCAAGAAGGCTGCTGGCAGGGAGGCAAAGAACTTGACGAAGGTGGTCTGCGAGGAGAGCCCTGCAGGTGACTTGCAAGCCAATGGAGAAGCCGAAGCGGCTGTGAGGGAGATCAAGTGGAGGATCAAAGCAGTCCACTTGATGCTTGAGAAGAAGCTCGATGGTGGACTCCCAGAAGGACATCCGTTGGCCCTGTGGATCGCCAGGTATGTGGCAGAGCAGTCCAACAGATACAAGGTTGGCGCAGATGGTCGGACGCCTGAGGAGCGGAGGACCGGGAAGAAGTGGATCAAACCCATGCCAGTGTTCGGTGAGAAGATCTTCGTGAAGCCAGCTGGTAAGGGCAAGAAGACAGATGTTTCCAAGATGAAGGAAGCACGGTTCCTGGGGTGCCACATGCAACCGCTTTGGGAGCGTCTTGGGCATGACGAAGGAGGGTGTGGTGGTTGGCGCTGGATACCACACACCGGCGGGTGCCTTGAGGAGGACTTGAAGGGTTCTCCATGGGACGCGCGAGCCTATGTGAGGAGAGCAGCGCAAGAGGAGTTGCTTCCTGCCCCATCGTGCCGCCGATCGCTATTGGAGCTCAGGGACATCCTGGCGAAGCAGGCCTGGGAGAAGAAGGAGCAGAAGGCGTGGCCTCTGAGGAGGGATCACTTGGCATGGTTTGGGAGAACAGCCGGATGCCCTGGCTGTTTGTCCATCCTGAAGGGAGCTGGATTCCAACAAGTTGCCCACAACGATGATTGCCGCAGCCGCATCAAGCAATGTCTGGCAGAACAGAGTCAGACGAAGGCAGAAGAGACCAAGAGGTTGAGAGCAGAGGATGCAGCGGAGGAGGCTGCGAGAGGAGGTTCATCGGTGGCCATGGAGCATGTGAACCCCGGAGGAGAAGCAAGCGGCAGTCGAGATGGAGTACCCGTGGTGAACATAGATGATCAGCCTATGACGACTTCACCGATGTTCTATGAGCAGCACGCGAACGACTACCAGGCGGTGGCCCTCTCGGATTCTGATGGGGCTGGAGACCTTCGGAGCCGAAAGTCTACCACGGGGACCGTCGTGAAGACAGGCAACCACACGGTGCTCGTGAAAGGGGCCACGCAGAAGGTTGTTGCGCTTTCATCACGCGAAAGCAAATTTATATGGGATGCGCCGCACTGCAACCCAGGCTGAATTTGTCAGAGGTGTCATCAACTTCTGGGGCTATGTGGCACAGAAAGTGAAGATGCTGGTGGACAGCACGGCCGCAAAGGCCATGAGCGAGAGGCGTGATGTCGGGTCCATTCGACATGCGCAGGCCCGATACCTATGGCGGCAAGACAAGGTGTTCGGCAAGGAGCTGGACATCGGCAAGGTGGCAGGGAAGGTCAATGATGCAGACCTGGTCACCAAGCTTGGATTTTTCAAGAGTAGGCGGAGGGGTCACAAGGGCTTAGCATAGCCTGGATCCAGACTCCGCTACCTGTTTTTTGGCCAGTTGGTCCGAGATGGACCGCTTGGCCCAGGGGGTGCAAACATATAGCGTCTCATGTACATGCACACCACCCGAAGCCATCTGGGCTGAAAAGGGAAGCTGCGCGACATAGCGCAAGTTTGCAGAAAGCTTTATTACATTTTATTACTAAGAAGTTTCAATTACATACTAAAAAGCTTCTTGTTACTACAGGTGAAACAATTCCAAATAGAACGGTTCCCACGGAAGCTTCTAGTTACTAGACACATTGCTTCATATTGTTTAATATCAATTTAGCAGTAAGGTTTCGGTTTGGTTGTAGAAGTATTTTTTCATGGACTTTCGGTTCGGTTCACGGTTCGCTTCGGTTCTGCGAGGTATAAGTTTCGCAGTGGGGTAAAGAAAAGAAAGGCAATGATAAAGAGACAAGACAAGACTAGACTATAGGCTATAGACAAGGCAGGACAGGACAGGAGAAAAGGAGAAAATGGAAAGCAAAAGGAAAGGAAAGGACTGTAACTATTTTAAGGAAAGGAAAGGCAAGAAAAGGAAGGGAAAGCAAAGAAAGGGAATAGAAAAGGAAAAGCAAGGGGAAGGAACGCAATTTGCGAATATGTTTTTTCCAGGCCTTCCAAATAGCATATTGGAAAGGAAAGCCAAGAAAAGAAAAGGAAAAGGAAGGAAAGGAAAGGAAAGCAAAGCAATGGACAAAGAAAGGAAAAGGAAAAGGACAGGTAAGGTATGCAATTTGTGAATGCATTTTCCTGACAGTCTAAAAAGCATGTTGGAAAGGAAGGGAAAAGGACAAGGAAAGGAAAGGACAATGTCAGCAAAGGCAAGGGAAAGGAAAAGGAAATGGAGATGGACAGGTAGGAATGCAATTTGTGAATATGCCTTTTCCATGCCGTCTAAGAAGCATATTGGAAAGGAAAGCAAGGAAAAGGAACGGAAAGCAATTTATGAATGCGCCTGAAGCCGGGCCGGGCCAGTGACATGCTGTATGGACATTCCAGTGGAGGATTGCTGCTCTGAAACTCAAGACTTTGGACAGTCTGAAAAACGCCACAGCGGAACAGAGCAGAACGGTTCGTTTTTCTTTTCGGTTCGGTTGTGTTTGTGTTTGGAAAATTGACGGTTGTAATGGTTCTTTTGATGAAAAATTTCAGTTCTTGACATTCGCTGACTTTCGGTTCCGAAAGTTCGGTTCCGAATCGATTCGGGACCGTTCCTGATTTAGACACATTGCAGCTGCCCTTTATTGCATGAGCAGTTATCACTGAAATGTGATACACTTGTGGCATCGTTTCCTGTGGGGTCAATTGACAACGCATCAGGTGTGACCGCGGTGTGACCCCAAATTTTCCAAGGGCCTTCTTGCGCTCTAATCTGTTTAGGCCGCGAAGCGAACATCGAATCTACAGGCTGAATACATTGCGTTTGCTGTCGGTGAGGTCTTGTTGGTGGACGAACCATGGACTATGGCCCTTTCGGCAACTTGGTGTTCATTTGGGTCCGGGGGCAGAAAAAAGTCGTGCTGCTTTATGCGTTCGATGTGAGTACATGTCAAAATGGTGTTCTTGGTTGCCAAGTTATTGTTACGTTTCGCTTCACTCCACGTAACGTTTGAATTGGCCAAGTTAAACGAATATTCTACAAGGATCCCAATCCATCCTGCCCTAGAGTGGTTTGGAGGACCACTTGCTCAACAGTGTGCTTACTTGTGCTTCATCCTAGTACGCAAGACGAGGGTGACAGCTCGTCTTTTTCTAGCTTCAAAGACCAAGTATGAGAGTGCAAGTTGGCAAGTTGCGCAGTCTCAAAGCAAATTTGAAAGCCGAGGTTGGATTGAGCGCTATGATCCTAGCTTTGCAAAATGGGTTGGTTCGTCCATGCACTTTGCCTTCATGACTCTGGGCTGCGCAACCTTTTGGCAAGTTTGCCAAAATCCAAGGGCTAGCTGGCTGGGACGGTGTTCAGCCCAGTGGGTCAGAGTTCATCATAACCGTTATTCATAAAAGGGTTGTATTCTTCGGCTTAGTCTCTCTTTATATAAACGTAGCTTTGAAGTTGTTCTTCGCTTTGCTCTCTTGCGTTGGTGAAAAAAAACCAATCTGGATTGATACAACATGTGTTTCTGAGGAATCAGCCTCAAGCAGGTTTGGCGAACTATGCAACCCTAGCAAAGTCCATGCAGCCGCTGCTCCCGGTTGAAACCCTCCAGGAGCCAGAGGGATGGGCAGAAATATTCCGAGAAGATGAAGCACAATTCAATGGGCAATCCTGTATATTTGCAACTTCTATACTCTGCCAGACGCTGCGATTCCTTCTTAATTTGCCTTTTCTCAATGTTTCCAAGGTGGAGTAGTGTACAGTATGTACATATTGCGAAATGCGCAAGTTTGAGCATACACCGCATGTTGGAATGACTTACAGTACTTGTTTCTCGCTAATCTTCAGAATAAAGCATGAAATTTCATACTTGAACTAGGCAAACACCTTGTGCCATAGGGATCTCCTAACAGGAAACACTGTGCCATTGAGATTGCCACCCGAAAGAACACCTTGCAGCATTGGAGTGATGACGCTCTGCCGTTGGTGCTTTTTTAGCCTGTTGAGACGTTTGCTTCAACACTGTGCTGTTAATATTGGACACCCAGTTTGGAGCGAATTTCAATGAATTTCACCTGTGTACCCACTTGCGTCGTGGGTGGCTCGCATGATCGACATCCTTTTCGTTGAAGGACAAGTTGCACGTTGCAGAAAGTAGGATGCTAGCCGCTAGCCGCTAGGACTTGATTCAAGAAGCACAAGAAGAGATGCGCATCGCGGTGGCTGCCATGTGGCGCTCCAAGCTCGGCTTTAATTTTGACATCTCCAGCGAGGTTCAGGTGCGCGGTGAGAAGCCGACTGTTTCTGCCTGTTGGAAGCCTCAATGAAGATGCTAAAAGTGGTGCTGAATGCTTCGTTCTGATCTCTTAGAGCCTTTGTGAGATACTTTACATGGTTTAAGCTTGAATATCGGAGGAGTCAAGGTTCGAAAAGGATACTCCACCGAGAGCAATGCTTGCAATTGTCCTGAGAGCTGTCCAATGTGTCTTTAAAACTGTGATGTTCTTTTAGTTATTTTGGTGTTCTTTATTTTTGGTTGGTTGCTTGACAAATTACTTGCCCAGAGCCTTCCTTGTGCAAGGCCCGAAAGTTGAACTACAACCATGCACCCCAGTTGCCTGAAACATCCTGAACCCGAGAAAGCACTCATGAAGAACTGGATCTACAATAAGTATCAGCCATTTTCTTGCTGTCTCTTCACACTCAAACAGTAGAAATCATCTGGGAGTTGTCCAGATCGGGGTACTGTTACATATATGTGTTGAAACAAATTCGAAACATGTGTCCTAAGCTATCAATATGGAACTAATACATTGCTTGCGTTGAACCCAAACAAGACACATCACTTGGCAAAATAGGTTGGGATACATCTAAGTCTTTGTTTCCAGACATGCTTCAAGTTGTTTGAATGTTGTGTCACTTGTTCAATAACTTCAATAGTTCTCTCAGCACTTCCTTCAATTTACAGTAATCTCTTTTACTTCTCACCATCGTTTGCCAACTCTAATCTGCAAGGTAGAAGCGGACGCCTTGTGGAAACAGCGCCTTGGCGAGACATTTCGTTAACTATGGGGAGAAAGAGAGAGAGAGAGAGACAGAGACAGAGACAGAGACAGAGAGAGGTTGCCGTACACTGTGACCATCCAAGGGCACTGAATGGGAACGGGTTCACTTATTTGAGGGATGTGTTTGCCAAGGACCTTTTGTCGGATTATTTTGGACTGCAGAACCCAGCATGTAATCCAGCCCATGAGTCCCAGTTATATATTGGCTACCAAATCCGAGCAAAGACCTGAACACGTGATTTGGCAGAGCCAGAATCCAGTGCTAATCACAAATGCTCGCAAATTTTCGGGCTCCGGTTGGAGAATTTGCTGGCGAGTTGTTCCCTGTATGGTGTTTGCAATGAGCAACTATTGCCACTGTGTCTAGTACTGGATGCGGTGGTTTTCTCACCACCAGGTTGGAGTCCATGATGCGCTTCTCCGTAGATTTCACCATGCTTTTTCGCCTGTTGGCACAGTCTCTTGAAATCGAGGAGGAGATGTGGGGGCCGGTTCTGCTTCGCGTCACAAGGAAGAGTATAATTGCTCGATATTGCTCGTGCTTGTAGTATAAATAGACACTATGCCACTATGCTTGTTTTAGCCTAGGGACTGAAAACCGGACCCACTTTTCTGACATTTTTGGATTCCACGACGCTTGGTCATGTCATCGCATGGTGTTGGGGGGGGTGGGGGGCTGGGGTGAGGGTCAAATTCCCCGCAGTGGAGCGTGTAATGCATAGTATCCCTGGATTCAACTCACAGTCCAACAAGGTTCACAGAGTGGGCAAAGGCGATCGAGCGGCTGTTTTCACACGCACATACCTTGAGCCAAATGTTATGGCATGTCAATGCATTGCGTAAGAGCATATCGCAAGATACTGTAACCAAGTTGAAGCAATAGCATAAACGGGTGCCCAAAAAGAAAAAACATGGGGGGGGTGCTGTAATTTCGTTCTTGTTTTCACATACGTCTCATGAGCGTGAAGGCTCAAGCACGGTGTGCGCTTTAGTTTTGTTTCGGCTGTCGGGTGTTCCTTGTCCTCCTCATTTTTGCGTTTTCTTCCTTTGTGGTGCGTCAGCCCTTTTTCTTTAGAACAGTACGTAGACGGCTTAACTCGTGATTGTTTTGACCCTTGAGTTTCTTTTGTTCACGAAACAGGTTTGGGTTCAGACCGTGGCTGGGTAAACTGGGAGCAGGTGTTAGAAACTCATTTTTCGTTGTTCACACTTTGGTGCAATGTGTGGTTGAGGTTTTCTTTTTCGAAAAAAAGAAACTAAGTCCTTTTCTGTTGGTGACTGTTGGTGTTGCGTTGGCGTTTGTTGCGCAGTTGTAGCAGCTCCATGTCGGATGGGTGCGCCGCCGCTGATTTGCTCGACAATGGCATCGATGAAAAAGACTTGCACACGGAGCCTGACTGGGGACAGCTAGTTACACAAAAAGCAGGCAACTTGAGGTGTCGCGAAAAAGACGTTTTTTATTTAGGCAAAACGCATGACAAAGCACTGCGTTTACCAATGAATTTGACATGAGAACCTGCAAAAGAGGGTGCGGTTTCCAATCCGTACGGTTGTTTTACAGTAGGTTTTAGAGAAAGCGCATTTGTGGAGAGCTTGCCAAGAAGTCGCAGGAAGTCTCTGCGGCAGAACTCGTGCCTGGCTCCTTGGTGCGCTGCTTGGCTCGACTTGAAGCGGAATGTTGCAAGAGGCAAGCACGAACATCGATTTGGCCCAAGGAATCCATGGCTTAAAGTCTGAAGCACTGAACGACACCAATGGCACCTTGTTGAACTTCGTCTCGAGCAGCGGTCGTTGGGCTGTTGCCACCCAGGACAGATTGTGTCTCGCGTTGCAGGTACTCTTTGGATCTTGTAGGATTTATCGAGAAATCCAACCAGGCCAGCGCTCTCGCACTTCATAGTATCAATTGACCCACACTCCCATTTTCGAGAATTGGGTACGCGATAATAGAACGTCTTGGCTTTAAAAAGTGCAAACCAGAGATGTTCATTGATGTGTCAATTATTGTCTATTGATTTCATGTCGCACCGGCCTCCACCTCCAAGCTGCTCTAGGACGGTGATAAGTCTCTGAAGCCCGAGAACCTCGAAGCCCTGCAGAGCGGCGACCAACTGTTTGCCTTTGGCTCGCAATGAACGGAAAATAATATTTGACAGGTACATGCATACATCATGTATCATCGTGTAGTCATATCACAACACGTCTACCTGAGAAAACGTCAGCGGCAGCGGCAACAGGCTGCACCGACATGTAGGCCTTCCAAGATGTGCCAGCCAATCCTTGATCCTGTCAATTGAGATAGCCCATAGTCCCATAGTTAAGCAATATCACCCTTTGGCCCAAAAGACTGATGGACAGCAAGTAGGATTAAAATGGCGCATGACATTGAGAAATTTGTTTGCGCGCAGACAGGGAATTCATGCAAACATGGATTGCTTGAGGGATTGTTTAGCAAGATATGAACGGGAATCAATCACTGCAAACACAAGAGACAGAAATGTAGATTATCAATGGAGGCAGACTTTTTCGAGTCATGTGCTCTCACGTACACGCGCTCTCTCACATGTGTTTGTGTGTGTGAAAACCTTGAAATTCAAGGTCATCAGTTGATGTATTTTATAGCGGGACCAGGACTCCTTGGCGCGCGTCCTGGCCAACGAAGACCGGCACCAGGGAGGTGAAAACGTACTTGCGCAACGAACACTACGAGCACCACGACTCGTTCATGAACGAGATCAGGAAGCCAGGGGCCTTGGATGACAGGGATTTGGCTTCCTGAGCTTGGCAGGCGGCAATGGGGCGCCTCCACTAAATTGGTACAGAGTGCTGAGAAAGCGCGCGATGAGCTTGTGGCACTATACGGGGAATTGCTGGGCTATAGCAGCTTGGCAGTGGCAAGAGCGATGGCGACGTTGACGTCTACATTGCTGACACTTGTGCCAATGTTTGCGCCAGCGTGGACAAAGTGCGGAGGCAACTATTGCCGCACGTTACAACTATTGCCGCGCGTGGTACTTAGCACCTTGTTTGGCTTTCACACGCCCAAATGCAGCTGCAGTGCCTTTGCTCAGCCATGTTGAACTGGAACATTGACTGCAGCAGTTGATGGTACCGTGTTGAGTGCACATCATTACACGTTGGGTAGCTGGCTAGCCCATCCACAGCCAGTCCAAAAGCTTGTTTGCTGGAAGGACCCAGCTGTTTCCACACAAGACACTGCTTACGACCTTTGCGCGTAGGTTTTGATGGTTCTCACTCACGACGCGTCATTCCCCAAACAGTTTACTGTTAGGGGTTCTCAATTCTTTCTTAAGATGTGTCCGCCCTTTGTGTCAGTGCTGGTGTCCGCCCTTTTCCACTGGCCATGTAGCATTTCTATTCATTTGTCTCCCAGGTCTGTCACTACTGGTGTCCGCCCTTTTCTGCTGGCCATGTAGTATTTTTATTCATTTGTCTCCCAGGTCTGTCGCTGCTGCGGCGGTGTAATTTTTGTTTGTAGGCTCGAGAGCTAGGTGTATTTGTTTTTGGTTGAGAGGATGGATGGGGGCACTTGTGCCCCGAATGCCGAGGAGACAGCACTCTTGCTTAACCTGTTAGTGCGCAGATGATCCCCTGTCCTGTGAGAGGAGTTGGGGCTCACAGGGGTCGGAACAGGTATTGATCAAGGAGAAGGGCCTGTGGAGGTTCAGGTGAAAAGGGGGAGTCTTGGGAGGACAGTTTCAATTCAAGAGTGGGCGCGTTGCAGATGAAGAGGAGGTGGCGGGCAAGGTGTTGGGCAAGCTGGGGGTGGGGCTGAAGATATATCATGATATATCAGCACCAGGTCTGGAGGAAGTCAAGAAGGCGTTGAATCCAATCAGGGCCACTGAAGCTCTACTGGGGGAAGTACGGGTTGTCGACCGGCGCCAAGGGACAGAACATATGTTTCCCCGGAGGGATTTTTCTATGGAGCAGGGCACGGCATGTTGCACTTGACATGCCAGGTCGAATGTGTTGGCGGCGCTTGAGGGATACGATGGCAGGCTCGTCTCATCAGGATGGGGGAGATTCTGGTCGGAGCATAGTGAGCGGACTACACTTCCGAGCGGCTTGGCAGTGCTGGGTGTGGAGAAATCGGATCGAGACGCAAGGTTCGGACGTCGGCGCGTGGCAACGCTGAGAGGCGAGGCGATACGAGGACTAGAGCAATGGACGGTCCGGAGGATTTGGCTGAGCAAGCAGTAGAGGCATGGAAGGAGAAGATTGGCGTCAAATGGTTGCCACGACCCGCCATCGGGTGTCGGATGATGAGACGACCACCTACAGTGGTTCCCGCAGTGAAGCTGAAACAGGAGAGTCAGCAGAGGAAGAGGAAAGTGGCTAAAGACCTTGAAGAAGAGCGGGAAGGGAACTATGTGGTGGTGTACAGGCGTGCCAGTCGCGGTACGTTGCATAGGTTGGGTCAAAAGGGCTGTTGGGTAAGAGATTCTTTGCACGGTCTCAAATCCACAAGGAGTTGCCGGAGCCCGAAGAGTACACACTCCGGCGCAAGCTATGCTGGAGCGGGCGTGATGGATAGCTCAGCGAGCCCACAAGTGATTCGCATGACAACTTGAGCCTCAGCGACTGAAAGGGTTGCAGCCAGTGGAGGAGAAGGGCGGAGTTGCACCTCAGAGCAGCGTTCTTTAGAGAGTCGCGCATCGCATGTGAGTAGGTGCATAGCACGCACGTTATTACATAGCAGTGTTAGGATCCAGCATCGCACGCTGTTCATCCGGTCCGGGCTTAAGCTGAGGGCCAACATGCCAAGGGCCGCGCCCACCAAGAGCGAGGGGGCGAAAGGCGGCAGGTACTGGCATAAAGTACTCTCGATGTGCCCATAACGCTTTTCCAGCGTAGCTCTCATGGCCGACCACTCACCAGCTGGGCGAGACCATTGCTGAGTGTCATACTTTGCATCCACCTCAGCCGCTCTCTGACTCCGGGTCTTAGCACTGCTATAGGCACACGTGATTGCCGCGACTTGCACCCTCTCATCTACCTGTCCGAATCAAGCTCCCAATGATCCTTCAAGACCGTCGCAAGATCGTCTCTGTCTTTGGCAAAGTTCGACAGCTTCTCCAATGTGGTGACGCCATGATGAAAGAACAGCTTCTGGTTCTCGATGTCCACCTCATGCCTGGAGAACAGACAAGATCTGCCCGGCCAAGGAGTTCGTGGAAAAGAAGCTCACGGAGGTCGGAGAGTACAGGGCTGAGGAGCTCACGGAGGCGGTGTCCAAGGATGAATGATGAGGTAGAGCCAGACACCGTTGCGCCGATTTGGGATTCAAAAGGAAGGCTGGCGATGAGGAGAGGGCCCACGAAAGTGCAAGAGCCCTCCAACCTCATAGGCGCTGAATTCTTCCACCATGCGCCCTTCTTCAAGCGCTTTCGGGCTCTCGGTGGACACCGTTGTTGAGCCGGCTCTTCAACCCAGCTGCTGGCCTCCTGTTCAGGTCCTGTTCTCAAAAGACCTTCTAAATTAAAGTTCTAAAGCCAGAACCTCCTTTTCCTTTGCTTTTGCCTTTGCTCTTTGCTTTTCCTTTGCTCTTCCCATTTCTTCCACTTCCACTGTCGTCCGGCGGTAGAAGCCTCTTCTCCCATCCTCTTCCGGCTGTCGAGTTAACTGATGTAGGCTTCATTGGATTGGTCATAGGCATAGGCCTCATCAAGTTCAGCCAACCTCGTAGGTACCTGTCACTTCTTCCTCGTAGACGTCGTAGTCGTCCTCAAAGGCCACCATCTTTTTCCGGTCAATCTCAAATCCGTTGCACGTGGCTTGTGGTCACCATGCACCAAGACCCTCATCAAGGCTTTTGTCACGCTCCAACTCTCCTTGACGCAAAGCCTGGAGCGTTTTTGCGTCCAGCAAGAAGCCATGGAATCGTGATCTTCACCTCCTCCATCTTGGTCATCTTTGTCTTGTGGCAGACGATATATGGCGGTTGCGGGTGAAATCGAAGAAGCGTCAACTTTATGTTGATACTGGTAGATGTCATCCAACAGCTTGTAAATTGGCTTGAAGGGCATCAAGCTGCTCTCAAAAGCTCCCGAATCTATAGACTTTCTTGCTGCCAAGTCACTGAGACGAAAGTCATCAACAAAGCGCCCTCCACAGCAGCTTCCAAGCTTCTCCTGCGACATTGCCGCTCAAACAACTCACCGTCTGTCGTGGGACATGGTTTTGCCAACCCCATTAAGTCCACGAACTTGCAGAGTTGCTCTCCTCCCCTATTGGCCTGGCCTAACCTCCATCCTCTCTTGTCTTTTGCCCTCTCGCAGCTCTTGAGCCTTGACCAGGCATGTGCGCCGAACGCGCTCTTCAAGATTTTTAGATGATCTCACCATATTTTTCTGCTTAGAGGATCTTGAAGCATTCTGCCGTGGATAGCTGCGCCCTTGTCAAAGTCAGGCGGCTCCGCTACCCATGTCAAGGTGGCTTCCCTGCCCAACACTGCAACCAAGGTCAGCCGAGCCAGGTGTAAGCTCACGGGCCCTCGTGAGCCCGCATGTAACGGACATGAAAACCTCTAAAAACATGTGCAAATCTGGATTATGCATTGGCTACACCAACCAACTCCAAAATGCAGATCCTGGAGGAGGCCCTTGAGTTTAGATAGAGATTTAGATTAGACTTGGTCAGGCTGGGATGGAGGAAAGACAGCTAGCTAGGGGGTAGGTGGGTGGTGGGTGGGTAGGCAGGCAGGCAGGTAGGTAAGTAGAGGCAGGTATATAGATAGATTTTGATATTATTGACCGAGGCTAGAAATTATGGTGCAAAATATTGACACAATGATTTCATTGCACTTCAACTGGACGTTTTGGCTTTCAGCTTCAGCTTAAAATTCAAGAAACCACCTTCAAACGAAGTTCACCCGTGATTGTTTTAAGTGTTAACTCTTTGCATCTTGAGGCCACCATTGCGCCGGCCTTCTACGATGCTCCGAGCCCTGAGCGCCGGGCCGCCTGGCTCGCTTGGCTCCGCCGCTGGCGTTCCCTGGACGGCGGAGGCACAGAAGAAGCACGAGCAGAGGCGATGCGCCAGCTGAATCCAAAGTACATACCACGGGACGCTCAGACTTGGCAGAGTAAGAGTTTGTCACTACGGTTGAAAGTTACCATGCCTCTTGATGGCCACTGTAATTAACTTCGAACACCCTGGCCTTTTTTCAGGAGTTCTCAGTCACAAAACCGGTAATATTTGAGTACTCGACAGAATGACTGTAAGTCTGCAGTAGTCTTCGGCTGGACATCGTTTTTTGGAAAAAATGCTGTGATTTGATTGCAAAACTTATAGGGACCCACCAAAAACCGATACCCTCTATCATGGGTGATGGCCCACCCAAAACCGATACCCGAAAGAGTTGTATATAGATGTATATAGATGTAAAAGAAAACCTGAGACCGATAGGGTACCACCAAAATACATGTAAAGAGATGCGAAACCTGAAAACTGATAGGGGCCCACCCAAATTATGAACGTCCTTTGCGGGTAATAAGAAATATTGTCCGACACTCATTTGTGGAAGAGAGGAGGCACAGCATTCTATACTCTATGGTCGTTGCATTATTGTTTCTGAAAAGGCACAAATGGTCCTGTGCCAACTCGTTTCGCCTGCTGATCCGTTAGTTCATGCTTTCAAGACGGGGGCGCAAAGTCGTTCAAAATGAAAACGCACCACTGCACCGCCAGCAAGTACACATCACTCCAGCAGCCGTCAATACCTGACCAGCAAGAAACTTGTGACGGGTCAAATAGAACGCATCAGTGAAGCTGGCAAAGTTTCACAACACAACGACAATACCTACCATTTCGCCTTGCCGGCAAGAATCAGAACCATTCCGCCGGTAAGAACATATATTTTCTACACCATTACTCAGCAACTTAGAAAGGACGTACAACTTCACCTGCCCAAAGATCCTACCGCACCACTTCACCGACAATCACAGCCAGCCTGTCACATCAAATTGCAAGCAGATATAACTTCATCAGAACCATCGATCACCGCCGTTTAACCAACCTGGCAGGCGTATCAAATCACAAATCCCCACCACCCTTTCGTATCGTATCACCAGCAGTAAACAGCGATGTGCACGCTTTGTTTCACCACTGATCAGGCATTCTACTCTCCTCCCATAAAGACGGGTACGTTCGCGGGATTATGCGGCTGCAGTGTAATGCGTTGGCTTCAAAGTAGATGGTGCCAAAGCCAAACAACGCGAGTTGATTGTGTGGCGGAGTGGGGGAGTGATTTGTGATATTCATGATGCAATTGTATGGTTTTGGTTCGCAACCGGATCGCTTCGCTCAGAAAGGAGGTCCCTCGTGTTCAAGTGTTCTTGGCTCCGATGCGCTCCGATTTAAGGAATGGATGCTAGTGGAGGCATGATTTGGCATTGATTCAAGTGCCACAGATGTCCTGGCTGTGATGCCACCTGTATTCTGTTGGATTCAAAGGGGTAACAGGCATGCACATGCAGAGCACCAGCTTGACTTAACTAACAAACCATGAGAAAAGCAGTGTAATAATGCGCAACATAAACAAGCCTGAAGTTTACATTGGAGCAGCTCATCCTCAGCTGCAATTGGACCACTGGCGAAAGCTCCGCTGCTTTACATTCCCTACAGTACCATGAACCTTTGTTGAAACCGCTGGACCGCTAGCAGTTTCCAAGAGCTTCCGTTTGCGAAGGCGTACGATGCCGCCTCAAGGGGAGACTATAGCATTATGCATGGTCTCTATCAGCTCTTCCTGCGGCCCCTTGGCATCCAGATCATAGTCCAGAGTCAACAAATCAGTTTGGACGAAACTGCGACCATGAGAATTCATGTTTATTAAGTCGTTGATTGCTTCACAATTGGTGAAACGAAGGATGCCAATCTACTAATTCCGTTGAGGATCTAAAAAATACGGGGCAAAAACCGGGCACAACCACGAGGTTGAAGTTGATATTGTTTTCCACACTCACTCTGAAGCAGGTGGGGTTGAACAATTTGCTACGGGGGAAAACTTAGACATTGCGCGTAGTGGCTGCTGGTGGCTCAGCTCAAAATAAACAGCTTAGTGCTTTGTCACTAGCGGCCGCAGCTTTTCGATTTTGGCCGTGGCAAGCTTCCAGGAGGTTTTTCACACTGAGCTAGCTGAGGCTTTCACACATACAACAAATGGTTATATAGAACATCCAGAAACAAAGTCTCTTCCTGACCGAGCGTTAGCTTATTAAACTATTGTCGAAAGCATTTGTGCCTGCTAGCTAGCGGCACTACAAGCCTTCAGCACACTAGTACCTAGCTAAGTTTGATGACATCGTTGATGCCTGCGCGCCATCTAATTAAGCAAGTCTGTGCAGTGTTGAGTCGGAGTCCAACAAAGTTCCAAGCAAAACCAGGGGAAGATGAAGTAGCCCAATAATAGAATTGATTCTAGTTGTTTTCTCTTGTCAAACGCTTCCCTTCCCCTTGGAGCTGAAAAGAACGGCAAAGCCCAACCTCAAGCTTTCACCATGGATGAGATAGACCGTTTTGGCCCACACACCCAAAGTCGTGCCGCCGAGCTCAAAACTGTCTGTAGACACTTTGGACTCTGAAGCCACTGAAAATTTGAAGCGACTTCAGCATCAAGATCTAGAGTCAACGATGATGGATCACTGAATATCACGCTCCTTGAGGCTCAGGCAAATTGGCTGGTTTATGCAAATCGGTACTTAAGAGCCATCATTCCTACAACTTTTGTTTATACTATTCATATGCTCTTTCTAACATTTGGACAACCCGAGAGTCCTGTGCCTGTGCTGCATGTTCCCTTGCTGCTTGCAAGTGCCTCTTCGACGCCCGTGAAAGACCCGATCTTTGACATTGCCGTGAGAGTTCCCCTGCTATGAGCGCAGCTGCTGATGGGCGCTCCTCACCATCACCAGGATCATGCCCATCATTGTTCTCATCATAGTCATCATCTAGTAGTGCTGCTGGTGCTGCTGCTGGTCGCTTTCTTGGTTTGGGTGCGCTTTTTGTGGCCGTCCTGGTCTTCGGCTTCGGCTTCGCTATTGCCTTCTGCTTCGCCTTGGCCTTTGGCTTAGCTGCAGTCTGCCTAGGCTTCCTGGCCTGCCTAGGCTTAGACTTTGCCTCTGGCGTTGCTTTTGCTTCACTGGCTGCGTTGGTCGTTGCAGATCATCGTTTTCCTTGCCTACCATGCCCTTGTCCCCGGCTTGCACTTGTGCAAGCTTGGGAGCAGGTGCTTCTTCTTCACTGATAACACCACTTGCTGCTGGTGCTGCGGTTGCTGCTCCTGGCGCTGCTGGGGCATCCTGTGGTGTGGCAACGCATGCTGGCAAGGCATTGTGTGTGGCAGCTGTAGGGCATGCTGGCGGGACATGCTGTGCGACAGCTGTGGCAGGTGCAGGGACATCACCATCATGCTCTTGGCTGGACAGGACTTCAATGGCTTCGGACAAATTCGGGGGATTGATATCTTCTTGCTTCAGCCTGGCTGCGGCTGCTGTTGTAGTTGAAGTAATTGTAGCTGTAGCTGTGGCTGCGTCGGTTCCTTCCTCCACCTCAATCACTTGCTGCTCTCCCTCTCGGCCTCGGCCCACTCTCATGTTCCATTTTATCAAGTACTTTTCCACCTCCTCTGGGTGAGAGTCCAGCGGCAATGTTGGCCCAGGCAATACCATCCTGAAACATTGTGTGCCAGGTTCAGGCTCAGTGGCAGGGTCTTCTGCCGCGACTTCTGCTTCCATAACTTTTGGAACAGGG